AAAGATTCTTGCTTATTTTTTTTTTTTCTTTGTACAAAAACAAAAACTCGGAAAAAAGCAGGCAACGTCAAATTTGAAGTTTAAAAGAAATTTATGATGTGATATGGAAACAGTCATTGACGTTTGTTGTTCTTGAGAATGGTGTTTGACAAAACATAAATTTATTTATAAAGAAGTTTGTGCGTGTGTGTTATATTGCAGTTATGTTATCAAAGTGTGTTCTTTTTTTGTCTTTTTGCTATTGCAAACGTGTTGTTTTATATGTTCGACGTGCTTATTTGACGAGTGCTCACTCATAAACGCTTATAAACACTGCACGTGATTTTCATTCATAAACACAATTTTCGATAAATCTCTTCACCTGCCTGCTTATGGAACTTCGAAGAAACAAAAAAAAAAAAAACAAAACATCAAATGTGAAAAATTAAAATTACAAAATTTTTCTAAAAGCCTTCCGCTTTAAGTTTTTGTTGGATGTTTTTCTTCTTTATTTTGTTGTTGTTGGAAACGGCTTTGTTTAACAATAAAAGTATTTGAAATAAATATTTTATTGTGTGAACTTTTTTGTATAAAAATATTTACACATTTACTATGAAAAAAAAAACAATCAGATAAAATAAAATGATAAATCGTTATTAACTAAATATTAAGTTTTGTATGCATTTTTATTTGTTTAATGAAAACTTGTTTGAAATTTATTAATTTATTTTAAAAATTAATTAATATGTTATACAACAAAATAAACTACTTGTTTTATTTTCAATATTGATATGTAAACTTGCTTTTAATTAATTATTACACATTTTATGGTTTGATTTTTGATTTATGCATGGTTCCAAAACGAAAGACTTAAGCAACAAGAGTATTTCACACCCACCTTAAAAGTAAAGCAATCCATTCCTCAATCTATTCGCTTTGTAAAACTTGTACTCAACCTCCAGATTACAATTTAAAATGGAACTTAAAAAAGTTTACAAACGATCGCAAAGCGAGTACAAAATCTATCGAATTTGTGTTCTTAAATGGAAATTAATGTCTGAGCATTTGATATATAGCCTGAAGCAAATCCATAATTAATACTAAGACTGATCTATAGTAAAGGCTATTTAATGATGTAAAGTCGAGTCTATGCAAAAATCTATAGTCAAAGACTATAAACTGATCTATAGTCAAGATTATAAACTGATCTATAGAGACTATAGAACGATTTTTAATCAAGGCTATAGACTGATTAAAGTCAAGACTATAGACTGATCTATAGAGAGATTATAGAATGATTTATAATCAAGACTATAGACTGATCTTTAGTCAAGACTATAGACTGATCTATAGTCAATACTATAGACTGATCTATAGTCAAGACTATAAACTGATCTATAGAGACTATAGAATGATCTATAGAGACTATAGAATGATCTATAATCAAGACTATTAACTGATTAAACTCAAGACTATAGACTGATCTATAGACACTATAGAATGATCTATAGTCAAAACTGTAGACTGATCTATAGTCAAGACTATAGTCTGATCTATAGTCAAGACTATAGACTGATCTATAGTCAAGACTATAGACTGATCTATAGTCAAGACTATAGACTGATCTATAGTCAAGACTATAGACTGGTCTATAGTCAAGACTATAAACTGATCTATAGTCAAGACTATAAACTGATCTATAGAGACTATAGAATGATCAATAATCAAGACTACTGACTGATTGAAGTCCAGACTATAGACTGATTATAGTCAAGACAATAGACTGATCTATAGACTGGTGAAGACTATAAACTGTTCTATATTCCAGACAATAGACTGTTATATAGACAAGACTGTAGACTGGTATATAGACAAGACTGAAGACTAATCCTTATCAGAACAAAATTCTTATCCGTAGTCAAGACTGATCTATATTTAATACTATAGAGTGATCTATATTCAAGACTATAGACTGATCTATAGTAAAAACTATAGACTATACTGAAATCTGATCCATAGTCAAGACTATAGGTCATACATTTGTCTATAATCAAGACTGGTCCATTGTGAATACAATATATTGGTCTACAATTTAGTATATGTTTAAGACTATAGTCTGGTCTTTAGTCTTAACATAATCGTATTTTTTTATTATACAAAGATAAATAAAAATAAGAAACCTTTTCCTCTAATCGCATTTTGCAAAATCCTTTTGGACATAAATTAAGTTTTATGTACATTTAATAGTGTTAATACTATTTACATGTATTACAAGTAAATCTGTAGTAGCACTTTCCGCCAACATAAAAAGCTAACTACTAAACTTGTCACGTAGCTGCCTGATTTTGCTGTTAGCAAAAGGAAAATTATTAATTTTACTAAATACAAACACATTTAAATAAACTTAAAGCAATATTAAAACTTTTTAATAGTTGCCATAAGAAATGTGTAAATGCAAGTCCCTCTACCCTTTTATTAAAATCCCATTACAGTTTGATGGTTGACAATAAAAATATTAACAATATCTAAGTTTTACAAATCAAAGTTAAGTCACACTCTGGTTCTGACTTTGACTGTGACTGTGACTCTCATAAACAAACACAAATTTAATGCTCTTACTAGACATTTATATAAATTTTATTTGCCGATAAATAATTTTCATTTTATATTTCCTTAACAAAAATTGAAAAAAAAAACAGAAATAGTCATAGGGGTTTCTTTTATTATTTTCATTATTATTATGTATTCAAACCACCATAAGCAATAAGCAACAACAAGTATGGTTAGATGATAGTGGCATTGCGAATAGAATGAACAGATCAATATCGTCAATTTACCTATTATGGAGACACGGCATGGACACAGTATTCAAGTATGCTTGGACATCATGCATGTTCATACATTAAGAATACTAAGCATACACACTTTTTGCAGTGCGATGTTTGAAAGTCCGTCCGCCTGTCCGTCTGTACGTAGTTGTTTTCGTTATTGTTGTCATAGCAATAAACATACTTTGACCACCCAAAATGCTTGACATTTTGTACATAATATTCCTAACAGTTTTAGAAAAAAAAAAACACACACACAAGCCATGGGCAGCTAGATAGATGCATTAACTCAAAGAGCATTACTCTCGTTTGAGAAATTCTATAAAAAAGTTTTTGACTTTAAGATACATTTATAACTATACACACATGTACTTATGTAGTTGAAGTTGGTCAATAACATTGTCCCAAAGTCTTGACAATTAATGAGTTGCTTTTATTTCAATTTTTCTGTTTGTTTTTCAAGGCCACCAATATATTACTTGGGTGACGATGGCCACTGATGGAAGGAAGTATGGCATTTGTGTCTTTTTGGTTTTGCGATTTGTTAAGAAATTTGTTTCAAGTTTGTTTTAGATGACTTTAAACATTAGCCGACCTGTCAATCAATTCTGTTAAAACACATGGTTACGGAGGATAAGACTAACGAACGCTTTTGAAGTTGTTTAATAATGCAGCAGAGATAGTGAAATCATGTCATTCATGCAACAACAACAACAACAGTCGTCCAAACAGTCCAAAGAGATCACACAATATAACCTTATTTGTCAACTGTTTAGCATGAAGCTGTCAATGAATCGTATACAAATAGTTTGTCATTACTTACATACATTTGTATTTAGAAGTTTAATTCTATGTATAAAAACATAATATTGCTAAACAAGTTTGTTAGTTTTCCTCCCCAAGTCCTGGTTTATAAGTTTTTGAATTGATTTTATATTTTAAAGTCAAGAAAAAACAAGTTAACGTACTATGATTAGCAATGCCGAAACTTAGATGCCTTTCAGCCATAATCAAAGAAGAAGAATTAATGTTAAAATCAAGAATAAGTCAAGAGTAACAATATAAACATTTCTTTGAGCAACCTAAAAGTATGCAATTATTTGTATTTATGAAATATTTTTGAAACCTTTATCTTTTTTTGTCATGTTATCGACTAAAGCAGTAGGGAATCATGATAAAACCAACATGAAAAAGTGAAAGAATATTTGTTTTATCGACTGCCAAAAGGTATGCAATGTTTTTTTATTTATAAATTTTGCAGTTTCCAAATTTAACGGAAAATCTAATTCCTGGAATATTTGTGAGAAAATTTATAATTTGTTTTTTTACAATTATTTTTAAAGCAGAGGGCAGATACATTAATACGCGGAGTCTGTAGCCTAAAAACCTATTACACTTCAGCTCATAAGTATATAATCTTATCTTATTTTTTGACATACCATCATCATCTTCCTAAAGGTATGCAGCAACTTTTTAGTATTTATATTTTCAGTTTCAAAATTTAAGGGGAATCAGCGAACTCTTGGAATATTTGTGAAATAACTTAATGGCAGGACTTAGTGCCCTAAAAGTGTTTTAAATTTTAACTCAAATAGTTCCCAATATCTATTCACAAAACATAAGAAATTGTTATTAAATTGCTTCTAAATTGAAGTTAAATCAAACTTGTTGTAGCGCTAATTATTAACCAACAATTAAGTCCAACATTTTCGGTAGACATGATACAACGAAGGTAATTATAAGTACTGTCAGCTAACCAGGCATTCTCACTACAGTTAAACCAATATACATCTTATTTAGAAGCAAAAAGAAAGCGTTAACAAAATTATATAATATTTAAAGAGTTCAATACTTGGCCAATGTTGCGCAAGAACATTTTGAACAAAGGCTAGACACAACGAGAAGAACTTGGAATTCCAATAAATCACAAACATTTGAAATTCAACAATTTTGTATAAAAAGTCATTTGGGCATCATATTCAATACACAAGGAATCAGAATATCAGTATAAATAAACATAATATTTGAAGATATCATTGACACTATGGGCCAATATTCTGTTTTATATACTACAAATCCTTATAAAACCAAACTCTACACCTTGACTTACTTCTTTTTAAGCACAAGTATTTCCCTAATATTGGCCCATAGTTTCTGTTTGATATTTTTTATATACATAATCAAACGATTTACCTGTTAGCAATTTAACTTGATACCCCTTTTTGTTTTGCGCTTAAAACCTCTTGAAGTATTTTTCTTAATAACCAGGTTAGTGATTTATGTTACTGTTTTGGAATCTTGCTTTTTATAACATATAAAGGGATTTCTTAAACACAAACCTTTTTTGAGGGTATCTTGAGTTCTGAAAATAATTAAAATTAAATAACAATTAAGTTTTCTTTCTTAAATATTTTTTTTTAAATTCATATAGATACAATATTTATATGAACAGTTTTATTTATATGATTTCAGTTTATTAAACATAAATTTGGTATGATTGTTTTTCTTTTTTCATTAAAGACTTAAACTTAAATGATGACTTAAAAGAAATGTGGCAAGATAAAATATATATTCGGTAAAAAATTGCTTTTTAATTCATTTAAAAAATTCTTAACCGAACTTGAAATTTATTTGTTTTCTTTTTCAATTTGGTTTTTCTTATTTTTCTTGTTATTAAAGGTGGGTTTTGCTTTAATATAAAATTAAAATTTAAAATAATCTTTGGATTTCTTGTAGGAAAACTTAAAGTAAATTCTTTGGGAAACTATATTAAAAATAAAAACTAAACTTTGGATTTATACTAAAAATGGCAAGTAAATATTCTTCTTAAAAAAGAATATTAAAAGGGAGAAATAATAAAAAGTAAAAATATAAGCCACAACTAACTGGTTTATTAGTTAAGTTATAGGGCTTTATATTTACCTTTTATTAACAATACAGCAGCAGAACTGTAAGTTTAATCAATACATCATAAATTTATGATTTAAATTTAATTCAATTATCTCTAAGTTTAATCAACTAAACTTACATATCCATCTGCCTTAATAAGCAAAAAAAAATAAAAATTTTAAATAATAAAATGCTTACGTATGGCACTTGAAAAAATGAATTTGATTGATGAGTTTAGTGTTATAAAGTTGTAGACAAGTATAAAAAATATATACTCTTAATGAAATGAGCTGATGTGTAATATGAATAGTTCACTTTTGTTTCATGTACATGGAAACGATTTTTTCCAAAATATTTTCTGTAGATTGATTTTCTTCACGAAACTTTTCCATAACATTGGAAGGAACTATCCAATTAAGAAATTCCTCCACATTTAAACGCATCCTCTCCAAGCAAGACAATTTCGTGTCATCATGGGACTTACGTTTGGCCAATTTTAAGGCTGCTATGACCACATTGTCTATTAAACGTTTCTCAAAACCCAATTGCTGTAGTTTTTGATCTGAGGAGATTTTCTTTAGTAAAATGGCCATTAGAAAACGTATGTGGGATAATGTTTGAGTTTCATTAAATTTAGCTTCTTGCTCTTCTACGGAGACAGTAAACTTTCTACATTTTTGCTGGTGGGTTTCTAGTTCAATTTTAATTTTGAAAAAGCTATGACAA